TAATTTAATTATTGACCCAAAGTAAACCATTTCCTCCGACCGGATTCTGTATATAAACAAAACATTTAGTTCTCTTCAGTATTTAATATGTGCGATGGCTTGTTTTGGCTGGTCGACCAGGAGAGTCTTGGCAGCTTTTGTCCCTTTTAAAGTAATAACGTGAATTGACGGAATAGGCTTAGGGACTCCTGGGCTGAACTAAATCTCTTTTGTACGACATTTTCTTCCGACCTTAACACACAGTGATCCGTGCTGGAACCAAGGCTGCAGAGGGTGTACCGGAGGCAGACATGGTCAAAAGAACCAGAGTGAGTACATTTCTACTTGGAGAATGATTTTTTTTTTAGTTCTTGCACTCAAATCGTTCCTACTTTGGCTCGTTGTTTGATGTTGTCTCTTGTTCTTAGTTTGAAGAAGTAAAGAGAGCCAAGCTTCGGGACATAAACGTGTTTGTGTCAAAGAATCGACTGTGTATCCACAACCTGCCCAAGTCGGTGGACAATAAAAAACTCAGAGCGCTCTGCCTTCAAGCTGTGAAAGGAGACAAGAGAGTCTTCATCACAGAGGTGAGAATACACTGTTGTCGTTAACCTTTCATTTAATATAGCAGTACTAAAGAGATGATCCTATTTGTTTATTTATATTTTTTTTGGAGAGTTGTGTGAAATATTTTTGTAGTATTTCTGAGGCAGCTCTGGAATTAGAAACACTTTGACTGTGTGCCCAGTAGGGGGTGTTGTGGTCATTCTGTTCATGCTGTTTGTGTGTGTGGTACCTCCTGTACCTCCTTCTAGTGCCGGGTCATGTACGACAAGAAGCCAGAGAAGGGTCAGGTGATGGGACAGTCACTAGGTTACGGCTTCGTCCAGTTCCGGGAACACGAACATGCTCTCAGCGCACTTCGCTACCTCAACAACAACCCCGACGTCTTTGGTCCTCACAAGGTATGTCTTAACAATGTAGCTTCTATGTGCAGAAATCATCATCATCAGTGTGTTTAAGAGCTACGTTACTGTGCCTTTGTCGCCTCTGTATTGTCCTTTTTGACTCAACAGCGTGGTGTTTATTTGGTTTTGAATTACAGAACATTGTCTTGTTCCCAGTCCACAGGCAGTCCTGTGTTAGTCAACTAAGCATTTTGTGTCGTTCCGCAGAGACCCATCGTCGAGTTCTCCCTGGAAGATTCGAGGAAACTTAAAATCAAAGAACTGCGACATCAAAAAAACAAGGTTTGTTTGTGTTGATTTATGTTGTAACTGCGGCCTAGAATCCAAAAAGAAAAATGCGTAGTAACCCCGTGTTTATTTTAATTTTTTTTTCAGGAGGTTTTCCAAAATCAGCCTTTTAAAAAAGGACCTCGGGGCCAAATCGCTGGAGATGGAAAAGGACCAAAGAAGGATGGAAATAAAGGGCAGTCTTCATCAGACCAGACGGGAAAGCAGAGGGGTAAGAAAATAGGAAGTAGTGGGACATTGGGTTCTAATGCAGGTGGGTTCAGATGGGCTGTAGTTCTCCTGGACTCATCCTCATCTGTTTTTTTCATGGTCAGGATCAATGTAGAAACTGAAAAGCATGATCTACTGTCACATCTATCTATCTATCTATCCATCTATCCATCTATCCATCTATCCATCTATCTATCCATCTATCCATCTATCCATCTATCCATCTATCCATCTATCTATCTATCTATCTATCTATCTATCTATCTGATGTAACAAGGGCCGTAGCAGTCCATTTAACCCCGCTGAACTTTTGGTTTTCTGTTACCGTTTCCATTATTCTTCCTTTTTCAACGTTCTCTCCGTCCACTCTTCTGTAAGTTGTAGGTCCTCCTCAAAGGCAGAAGCAGGACAGATACTTCTCAGGCTTCCAAACCAAACCTGAGGTCGAGCACATAGATTTGGAGAACGGAAAGAAACGGAGGAAAGTGCTTCCTTTGCCTTCCCATCGAGGGGCTAAGATCAGGTACGGCTGTTCTCGCTGTTAGTAGATGCACTCCTCATCGCTTGAAGATGTGCATCCTGTATTGGACAATCCCATAAAAATGAAACCGGCATTTGTTTCCAAAAAGCCTGAAAACTCTTGGTATGTTTTACTTTAGTGCACCTTTTGAAGCGTCGGAGCCGAACACTCAAAAAAGCATTTGTTCAAGCCCACTTCGAAAGGTGGTTTAGGTCTTCCAATACTTAGAAATGATTATTGGGCTGCTAATGTCAGAGCAATGTCATGTTAGCAATGGGGTTGTCCAGATGACGATTTCTGCCCCCTTGTGGTTAAAATTAGAGCTTACGTTCTTAAAGAAACCATATGCTTCTCTGTCCTCTTTATTATTTAGAAACCCTACAACTGCAATTAACTTAGTAAGTCATAGTCCTCTTGTTAGAAACTCACTGAAGATTCTTACTCAAATTAAACATACCTACAAAGTCCCTGGTATTTCAATATATACACCGCTCTGTTACAGTCATGCTTTCACTCCAGCTCTGCATGGTATGCAAAAGGACTTAAATGCATAAAAGATTACTATTTCAACAAGAACTTTGCATCTTTTGGTCAATTAAGCTCAAAGTATAACTTATCGTATTCTAACTTTTTTCGATATGTGCAACTCCGGCACTTTGTACGAGAAAGCGTACCTAATGTTGAGACGTCTGGTGAGAGTCATGCATTCTTAGACGTACTTTCACTGGATTTGTTAATTTTTTTCTGATGGCTCTGTCTCCTCTAACTCCATGAAGAGGGCTCGGGAAAAGGAAATGAATGCTGAGCTGGCTGATAAAATGTGGAGGGCCGCACTGTCTCGCATTCATACTTGCTCAGTAAATAGCAAACACGGGCGAATTCAGTTCAAAGTTAGACATCGTTTTCATTATTCTAAGGTGATGCTACATACATTTTATTCTCCTGTGTCCCCATTGTGTGATAGATGTAAATTAAGCGATGCTACGCTGCTGCATTTATTTTGGGACTGTCCACGTATTAAGTCGTTGTGGTCAAGTATTTTCTCTTTTTATTCTGAGATTTACCACAGGACTTTTCCCCCTGATAGGGACTTTGCTCTTTTTGGCTGTTCAGAGGGCTCTGAAACTCTTCCCTCACATATTCAACCAGTGTTGTTGATGGGCATGGTTCTAGCCAAAAAACGTAATTCTTAAAGACTGGAGGAAATCAACCCCACCACGCCTCAAAGACTGGTTACATGAACTCGTTTCGGTTATCCATCTGGAGAAACTGCGGTTTAATAATGTTAAAAAGCCAAAAACAATGGGAAGCATCCTGGGGTCCTTTGTTGAAACATCTGGATCTGGTCTGATTGTAATTTTACATGGATTATCCTGCATTTCTAGGTTTTTATTTATGTCTTTCTTTTTTCTTGTTCTGTTTTGTTTCATTTATGAACGTTATATAATACCAGATACTTGTTTGTCTTTTTTAAGTTGAACTTGAATATTTTTTTGGTGTTGTAGTTTACAATTTTTTTGGATTGCATCACTCTCCTCCATAGGATGTGTGTGTATATGTGGTGTGTTTTGTGGGGATTGTGTGTATATGTTTGGAAAAAAATATATATATATAAATAAAGTAAACTAAAAGCCAAAAAAATAAATAAATAACTGACTGATAACACACATTCTAATCCAGTTACTCATGCACAGTAATGTTGTGAGTTCTGACAAACACTAAAACAAACTACCGAAATTAAAACGTATACAGAAACAGTGCAGTGACTCTGCAGTAGGCGTGAGGACTAAGCGACAGATTTCAAACTGTTTTTCTTTCGCAGGAAACGTGACAAAGGAAAGCAGAAGCCGCCGCCACCACCCAAGAAAGCAAAGCCTGGGTTCAGCAGGAATGTGCATCAGAGACGACCGATGGAGAAGCCCACGCAGCCCCGAAATCAGGTTAGTACATGTTATGTTGTGTAATCTAGGGCCCGACCGATATGGATTTTTTAAGGCAAATTCCGATATTTGGCAAAAAAAATCAAAAATCTGATAATTGGCTGATTAATTTAAAAAATATATAATGAATAAAATAGCTTCTTTTTTCAGCCTTTAATGCTCACAACAACAAAGATAGTACAAAAACATGCAACAAAGCATTATGAACAAATATGTCTGTAATGGGGTGTATTTTATTTCAAATGTACATTGTGCATTTTTCTTTCTATGGAGCATGAATATAGTTGTACTGATTTATCTTCAGGTTTAGGCCACAGGTGTCTGCTGTGAAGTTACTGGCAGAACGTTATCTATGCAGCCCTCTGATGCCCTCTAACGTTAAACAGACAGACAGGAATGTTCATCAGTTTAAGTTTTCGGGCCTGCACTGAATAAACTCCCTGACTAATTTGTTGGACCCTAATTTTAAAATTCTTAAGATGTTGGCGTCCTTCAAAAGAATGAAACAAAACACTCTTAAAATCTGCAGCTGTGTGTTTGGTGGAGCTGCCAAGTGGAAAAAAAGTTTAAAGACAGTGTTTATGTTGACGAAACAAGTAGCAGTATATAACAAAACCAGACTGGATTAAAGGATAAAACAGCAGATTTCAATTAAGATCCACGTTCTCCATTAGTGCAGTCAGGGTTACGTTTTGGTGGCACCAAGTGAAACTGGTGGGATTTCCACAGTAATTAGGAATCTGTACAGTCGTCCTCCAATCTATTCAGACCCTTCTATTAAAGAAAAAGGCCAAATCCACAACAGTCACTCAAATAACTAGAAACTGAAAAAAGTAATAATAAATAAAAATTTGCTAATTTATAATTTAGTGAAATAAGACGTTGCTTTGAATTGTGGTTGAAAAGAATGATTTAAAAAACAAACAAAAAAAACTGTCCTGGACAAATGAGAGCACTTTGCTGATGAGCAACAGGAGCAGAAGTCTGACTGAGAGTTACAGAAAACACTTGATTGCAGTGATTGGCTCAAAGGGTTGTTTAACAAGATAATAGTTTACAGGTTCCATCACGCTTGTTTAAAATAAATAAATAAATAAATAAAATTCTGTTGAACCACAATTCAAAAGCAATGTCATGATTTTCATTACATTTTTTTTTATTATTACTTTTGTCAATTCCAACTTATTTCAGTTCCAGCTGTTGTTTTCCTTCTTTAATGGGAGGCTATGAATACATTAGAGGACGAATGCAGATGCTGGTTGAAGCGAATCACATCTGTATTGTATGTATGTATATGTGATCTACAAATTATTTTTTTGGCTGATACAGCTTCTGTCTTTATCAGTCCACAGGGCTAAAGTCAGTAGAATTTAAACAAGAACTGAAATCAAAATTTAAATTGGATTTCTGGTTATGTGAAAGCAACAGAAGTGAGTGTGCAGGGCTGAACAGTTCATCAGTTTCATATCAAACCTATGATTTGGGCTCCAAATGAGGATATATGTTATGCGGTACATTTAATTAAACTGCAATATTTGTCATAAAAATCACAGTTAGATATTTCCCCCAAAGCCCTAAGTGTGATTTAATTAGTCTTTCTACTGTCTGCCTCCTCTTTTCATGATAATGAATCTTTGTAGGTAAAATTCATAGAAAGAAAAAAACAAGTTTACTGCAGATCTGTTGGTTTTGGAAACATGTTGGCTAGAAACCCAAACCTGCAGTACAGTGTTTTCCTGAATTAGTTTTTTTGTTTTTTATGGGTTCTATGTCTGTGTAGGTACTGAATTAGGAAAAACACACTGATGTGATGTCATGAGATGCGTAATATTGGTAGACGTTGACCTGACCTGTACATGTAGGGAACAAGGTGTGAAGTTAGAGTTACTGGGAACAGGCTGGAACCTTCAGGGCTGATACTGTACATGTTTGTAGATTTATTTCTCTGTAGTCATGTTCATTTTACATTATACAGTATGACCTATCGAGAAAAAATCTGATTTTCTTTTCTTTTAATGCACTGTATTCGCACACAAAATCACACTGTACTCTGTTGGCCTTAATCTAAAACATCACCATCTGCCCAGCAGTGCCGTTTCTATCGCTATTAGTTTTGAAGAAAAAAAAAAAAGTGTTAATTTGCTGGTGCTTTATCAGAGTTGTCCTGTTGCACCTCGAGGCCAGACTGCAGCGTATCATCGGCTCGGCCGAGAAGGTCATTGGCTGCAATCTGCCTCCTCTCCAGGACCTGCACGCCTCCAGGACTCTGAGGCGTGCAGGTGAGATTGTGGCCGAGCCCTCCTACCCTGGACACAAACTCTTTCCATCACTCCCCTCTGGCAGGAGGCTTCAGTCCATCAGGACCAGAACCTCCCGCCACAGGAACAGTTTTTTTATCGTCTGCCACCAGCAGAGATGGCAAAAGTACTCACATTCTTTACTGAAGTAGAAGCAGAGATACTTGTGTATAAATAAAAGTAGAAATACTGATTCAGCTCCTTTACCCAAGTAAAAGTAAAAAAGTACAGGTTCAGAAATTTACTTAAGTACAGAAGTAAAAATGAATTTTTAGCTTCGATGATACACGATGCCTCTTTTGATTACTCAAAACGTAAAATGAAAAAAGTTTTAAGACACACAATAGGATTGTTTTCATCCTTTCAGAACCTGCAGAGTTCTGCCACAGAGAAAAACAATCACTGGACAGTTTTCCATTTCAGCAACAGTATGAACATTAAACCTTATAATCAACATGGAAACTCTCATCTCTTCAACATCTTTTATTGAGCCTCAGTAGAAGCTGGTTCTCAAAGTTCTCTGAATGAAGACACGGGCCCTTTTGGGTCTGAACATCAGTCCTGCAGAGCTAAACAGCCTCTGGCAGGCAGCTGAGGCAGGCAGGGCTGTGCTGAGCTTCAGCGACTTACTGCTGGTGAAGATAAAGACGTTTGTTTTTACGTCTTTTACGCCATGTCGTCGTCCGCGGAGGTTGAAACAAGTAACGAGCCAGTTTAGAGAATGTAAGGAGTAGAAAGTCCAGATATTTGTGTTCAAATGTAGGGAGGAAAAGTAAAAAGTCAGAAAAATTAATGCTCAAGTACAGTACAGATACCTGCACAATCTACTTAAGTACAGTAACAAAGTATTTGTACTTGGTTACTTCCCACCTCTGGCCACCGGCCTCATGGACGAGGCCAGTTTAAACTTAATTCTTCACTACACAGTATCTTTTGCTTCTGCTTTGCACTATTACAGTTACTTTTAGTTTTAGTTACTTTTAGCTATTTTTATATTTTTATCTCGTACATTGCTCCTCACTGTACATATTTATTGTTGCACCAGCCCACCACAACACATTCCTCGTATTGTGCAAACTATACCTGGCAATAAACCTGTTTCTGATTCTGACGACTCACTGTTTCGTTGTTTTTTTTTTTCAGATGGTTAAACCGGGCAAGAGGAACTTCAAGAGCAGGGACAGCGACCGCTTTGACAACCTGGTGGAGCAGTACAAGAAGAAGCTGATGGGCAACAGCTTCAAGAACGCCGCTATCAAAAGAAGCAAGTGGTTCGACAGCTAATGCCGCGCCGATCTGTGTGAATGTGTACGCGAGTGATGGGGGAAAAGAGAAAAAAAAGTGTTGTAATTTTATGTCCTGAAGTAACAGAGGTCGTCTACATTTGACATCTTGAGGATTTAGAAGATGGGAAATTGTTCTAAATGAATTTTGTGTCCAGCTGTACAGTGTTCGGCGCTCTTGTGTTAAACTGTGTCTCTGAATGTTGCTCATTTTTGTTTATTTTTAACTACTTAAAAAAACTCACATAAGAAGTATTTGTGTACATGTATTTTTATGAAAACGTGATAAAGTACTTTAAGATTTTACTGTTGGTCTTTGCATTGTTGTGTTCGTCCATATTGTTGCAGGATTTCTTGTACTTTGTTTTTTTCTTTAACCTAGTTTTTACCAGGAGTTAATCATAACCCGATAGCTCTGGATAAACATGTTCCCACTCACGTACCCTGAAGAAATAAACAGTAAACGAACACCCACCACAAATGACATTATATATTAACCTGGTCTACGTGCCCCTCCACTGTAACTCATTACACAACACACACACACAAACCAAAGTATTACCAAAAAATAGGTTGTCAAATATTTATTATTAATTTTTTGTATAAAATAGTTACAAAAACAAAAATAGTGACAGCTGTACAAAAATATTCAAGACAAGGCCTCCAGATATAAATAGCCACTTTGGAAGAGCGCTTGATATTGCACTGCAATAAAAGTCGCCCTTTGCCCTTCCGGTTCTTTTAGGTCTCATACATTTGTTATTCTTGGCAACAGGTTTCCAGGAATTTCCAGAGATGACAGCACTGCTTGTCGTTACGTTTCCTCTGGCTGCGGTTTTATCTCATAATGCTGATTCAGCATTACTGAATTAAAGTGACATCGTTGGTGTCGCAGTTACAAAAACCCACGAGCTGCCGATTTGTCTCTGCATGCGAAACACCGAGCGCTTTTCATTTAAACAATCTCTTTGGAAACTATATTTAAGCTAAAAAAAAACACATTCTGATGAAAAGACAATGCTTGTTACAAAATACATAATTTCTGAATGCAGTATATAAATAAATTCATAATATATATATATATATAAATAAGTGCATGTTCAAGAACAGGTTTCCTTCAGAAGTTCCACATGGCCTGGGGGAGCGGGAAATGTTCAGCCAGATATCACTGATGCTGGCTTTACAAATCTTGCCCAACAACCAGGCTAGTACCTTACAAGTATTGCTTCCGATGTCCATCCATCAGCAAGTTTCAAGCTGATCCAGGTTCTTGAGCAGAAGGCTGAGGAACTCCTTCACTCTCATGAGAGCCTCGATGCTCACGGTGTGAATGAAGTCTTTGCGGCTCTGGAGCTCCTGCAGCGGTCCCAACACCGGAGGCTTTGGCAGCTGCTCGCTGCAGTGGCCCTGCCTCCACTGTTTGAGGTAGCCCGTCAGGGAAGACATCTCACACTTGATCTGCGTGACGCCGTTGAAGGCGTCGGAGATCAGGCTGTTGTAACCGTCCAAGACCGCCACGACGGAGGAAGATCCATCCAGGTCGTCAGCAGGCTCACTGAGCGTCAGGCCGGGAGGCACCTGCAGCAACGAGGAGAGTTCAGTCACAAACACGCCAACTCTTGGAAACAGATTCAGCCACCATGAACAGAACTACAAACCCTACCTGAAAGTCTTTATTGAGTTTGACCACGAGCTGCTCGGCCATCCGTTTCACTTTGGATTTCATCTTCACGACTTCTGCTTGGATGGGAGCTGCCGTGCTCGGGCTGAAAACTTGAAGCAGCGAAAACAAGACCAGCAGAGTGTAGTACATACTTGTAGATTTCCCCTGGGTTTGCAGAGAACAGATAAGCGCTGCTGTTCCTAGGAAAGGAAAAAGAATTCCCGCGATTAGAAATGACAAAGGATGCTTGTCATTTTAATGTTTGCAGTTACTCATGTTGTGTCATCTCGCTTAGACAGGAGCTCATATCTGCATGTCAGCAATTTAAACACGCTTCCTTCCAGCGATTTAATCAATACGTTTAATTACGGACGCAAATATTTGTCATAGAGACACCTGGGACTTTTTAAAACTGTGTAACAGGTACAAAGATCACAGAGTGTGGCTTTCACTGCCAGAGCAGAAGAACAAGTTCCTAAAAAATCAGCAACACACATCTCTATAGAGAGCCAGAATTAGTAGGAAAAAAACAACAGTAATTACTTATTTTGGAAATCTAACATTCAAACATCCTAAACAGAAACAGATGCAGGAACTAATTAGTGCAAAGAACAATAGTGAGCACAGCTGGTGAAACAAAGATGGAAGAGCCGACAAAGAAGAAGAAGAAGAAGAAGAGAGATGGGCAGGAAAGTTGACCTTACCTTGGCCGGTGTCTGAGTGTATGCCACTGTCGGGCTCCATCACCGTATCTTATAGTGGAGGGCTGTTGACTCATCTCTTACTCACCTCTCCCCATTCGACCCCCCATTCCCCCCTCATCCGCCCCCTCGCTCACCTCTCCCCATCTCACACCCCTTAAGTCCCCTGGTGGTGCTGCGGGACACATGATGTAAGTGAAGTATGCAGTTACATTTTTGGTAACTATCCTGTAAAAGTGTTTTTTTTTTTGTCACTGTGTTATCAGGGGAGGCGCTGATGAATGCAGCTCATACAGATTATTCTTTGGAAATAGTTTTAAGAGAGTTAAACATGTGTCTCACAGCAGAGGGTTGGTGTTTGATTAAAGGCATTTCAGCCCTATCTTTAAGGAGGCTTTTAAAAGTTTTGCTTATTGCACATTAGCTCCACGGTTTACAGACAATGTTTCCAATTCTGTGTTGGCAAAGAAAACTTCTGCTGCTTGCTTGACTAATCTATAATTTAATTTAGCTTTTATCCAAAGCATCTGAGAGAAGATACGACACAAGCAAGGATCTAGTCAAGTCCAAGTGTGATAGGGCTGCGTGGGAGGGAATAGGAAACCTTTATTTTTTTTAGTTTTTGTTTGACTAAACAGTCAAAATACCATATATGTCATATCCTGTAGTGGGGAAAAAAAGCATGACAGGAGCAAAACAGCTATACAAACAGAGAGGTTGGCAGGCAGAGTTGGCAGAGTATCAGGTGCAAAATAAAGTGAAAGTCAGAATTAAAAGTGATAAACAAGTTGTGGGAAAATGGAAGTTGTGCAGTTTTAAGGTTCCATTTTTTTTTATATTGGCAGAGTTTCTGGAAAAAAAAAAGAAGAAGAGCTTTTCTAGACTCTCAAAGACGCTTTACACTGTCAATTATACACACATTCATTCTGGTGGTGGTAAGCCGGGGCAAAGTGACAGAGGGCGTCGCTGCCATTCTGCATCTGTGGCCCCTCTGATCACCACCTCAAACAGCCCATTCATGCGCATTCACACCAGGATTAAGTGCCTTGCCTAAGGACACAATGACCACGACACAGGGCAGAATGGAACCGCCAACCTTCCAATCACTGACGGACTCGCTCTACCACCTGCTGCCCCAAGAAGAAGAAAAAGAAGAAGAAGATTTTTTTTTTGCTCATGGATTTCCTCAGAAGATGTTTGCGTTTAATGTGAATTGCAGCATATTGAAAACATGTTGCACATACTATAAATAACATGGACGCAAGCCACAAAGTTAATTCCATGTTGGTGAAACTCTGTGCTCTTCATGGAAAACTGTTGTAAAACATTATTTTCCCTTAACACAGCTATTTTTGGATCCACATGTGTGTTATTGCACCATAGAGAAGGAGGGGAGTGGCGGTGAAAGTTTCTGTTTCTCTGAAGCGAAATAAGGTCAGCGAGGCCAAGATCTTTTTTTTCTTTTTGCTTGCTCTACTGGGAACAACACTGGGCCATACTGGTAATTTTCCTTCAAGGTAACTTACAGTAAATCCGGCAAACTGTTAGCACGAGATGCCATGAAGTGATTAGCACATGATCATTGCCACACTTTTGGTAGAATAAACAGATACATGATCAGATCTGAAAAATGTGGAGGGGAGGGGAGGACAAGAAAGATAAACTAAGGAGCATATTTCTGGGAACAAGTGTAAATGGGTGACAGTGTCCCACTTGCAATTTCAACGGGAAAAGTTTATTATTCATGAAAGAAAAACTAGAAGGAATGAAATGAATGATGGAATTGCTTGGGTGGCTTCCAAACGTTATTAAATGTTTTAGAGTAGGTTTCAAGTGAAAACTGTTTTCCTGACATCTGGGTCCAATAAAAGCTTTTTTTCCCTTTTTTTTTTTAGTTGTGGGCTTTGTCTGCCAGTATGTGACATCTCAATATACAGGAAGCTTTAAAAATGGTTAAAGTGATCAGTCTTGAGTTAGTGTTTGATTATTTTATCTCATAGTGGAACATGGATTAATCGTATCTCCGTTGCTGATTTGTATAAATACAGCTGTCACGGATTATTTCTATGCTTTAGATGGATCCGTGCTATCTGTGGTGATCGGCGGTTAATTAACATGTTTATGCCTTTTTTCTCAGCTGCAAAAGACTCCTCATATAAAGGGTGAGTCAAAGGTATTTCCTCTTGGCCAGACAGAGTTTTATAAACGTGTTAATTTAGCCGGATGTTTCAGCGTGTACTGATTCGTTCCAAACCCCAACGATACATATCTGTGCCGTTGTGGCTACATTAGAAGCTTCGCTGGCCCACAGATTTACAGTTGTGTGTGCGTCTCTTGTCCCTGAGATCAAAGAGGATCAATTCAACTGCATCCCTGCAGCACAAGAAGTCGCCTCCTGGAGTATGACAGAAGGACGCTGCAAGGCTTCATCAATAATTCATGAGGACTTGGTGTCACATGACTTATGGGAACATGTGAGTCACATCTTCAGACGATGTGTGCGCCCGTCTCTCATCAAACTCTACACATTTGCACACATAATAAAAATGCATGCAGCTTGTCCAATAACCCTTTAAGATTATGAGGAGGGATATAATCACCTTACCAGTAAATGATGAAGAATAGCATACAGGACAAAGGGTTAACAGAGTGTTTGTGACCTGGTCCTCGTAACACCGGCCCAGCCGTGTTAATGGGCCTTGCACAGGATCAGATTACTTGTCCAGATGCAGCATGGAAACCAGGAATTCCACTCAGCAGGATCTGCCTGGATGAGTCACAGGAATGATGGGAATTCAAATTCATTGATCCTGCATGTGCTGCCATTCAGGAGAATGTGCTGTTTTCTCCCCCAGACGCTTCAGTGACGTTAACGCCATAAAACGTGTCTGCAAAGACCTGAATCAGCGTTTCCTTGTGGGCCGACTTCACAGTGAGTCTGAGCTCTGCAGAAGTCCAGTCACAGCAAGCGCAATCTTTAGGAAAACACCGTGTTGGTCAATACCGGCAGCACAAGCCGTTTTATATTTTAAACGCCACAAACGCCAACAAAGGGACCTATTGCAAAGGATTAGGAGAGTATAGAGGAACTGAACGCCTGAGTGAGTTCATGCAGACTATAACTTGCGACATGTTATGCAATGTCCAAAATACTTTAGGCTTCGCCGGCTGCTGATGCTCTTTCCCATCAGCATATTATCAAGAGGCTTTATACTTCTGTGGGTGTTAAATAATACATTTGAAAGACATTTATGGTAATCCCTGTTCCAGCCTCTCAGTTCCCTGCAGTGTAAAAAAAGTTTAAGCCAAGTTTCTGAGACTGACAGTAAATAAGTCTTCTTTTTTTGGACTTTAATTGTAGAGAAGAAGTTTATTTATAAATGCACAAGCTATCTAAAATGTGACTTCATGAAAAGTGCATATTGGTGCAGTTGATTAGTTCTAAACCAATGTCTGCAGTTTCAAAACGTAGAGGCAAAGAAAACAGAAGGCCGGAGCAAGCTGACTTATAGTAGGGAGGTTAAGCCCAAAAACTATGACTTTGACTTCAAGTCTTTGGTATGGAGGTACCTTAGGGTCATACAAATACATGTATCCTAAGACACAAGTGAGATCACACTTTGTATCAGAAATAAACAAGTTTTTTCAAAAATGGCCGCCAATGTGCCGAAAACACTCTACAGCCCATATCTTTGCTTCTGTTGTAGGTATAATGACAAATTTGGTGTCAAAGCGTATATTTTGGGGGTCAAGGAATCCAATAAAATGGAGTTCAAGTTTAAAAAAATTAAAGTTTTCTCCCTACCGTGACAATTTGGGGTAAATATGCACATGTCACATAAAAATTGTGTCATCAGAGTGACTTTACTTTATCTTTTCCTTCAAAAAACTTCTGTACTTAAGCACTGCAGCTACTTCTGTGCATTACATTTGTCCTTAGTAGCATGAGATTTCTCGCATGAGATATCTAGTAGCATATGCCTAGATGCAACAAGGGCTGTGCCTGCTGAAGGTCAAAGGTGACAGGTTAACACTTTGAGGTTCGTATGACTTTCTCATTGAATAGAAAAATGTTTTTCTAGTAACTAGCTAGCCAGTAACAAATTAACTTTATTATAACTAGCTAGCAAGTAACTACTTAGCTCTTATAGAAAAGTAAATATCTGGATGTCATAGTGCGTACTCACTTGAACAGCACATCTAGAACTGAATCCTGGACACAACATGAAGCTCACTTTTGTTCTGATGGTTCTGCAGTGATCACCATTGCATTCATTAGGTTCTGATGATACAAAGTACTGTTTGCAAAGCTGATTGCCTCTGTTACTGCATTCTGGACGCATGAACATTCTTCTTAGATGTGGTTTGATTTACAGAGCGGTTTAGTTCCAGTACTTCACTGAACTGACGTCTGTCGTTTACCACTGAAAACTGTCTCGTGTTAAAGTTGTTGAGTAATAAACAAAGAGCACGAA